AGTAGTTTTCTCCATTGAAGAAGACATACTGGGTTTATTAACCACATATGACTGTAGACTCCATGCCTAGTGGTAGATGGCTAGCACAAAATGAACTCAATGATATATTTTAGACTTTTTGTCTCATATTGTTTTGTTTAGGCATTTTTTGTTTTGTTTTGTTTTGATAGCCTTTACTTGTACATTATGGTTTCTGATTTTGTGTTTATGGAATTTATTGTTGTATGTTTGTCTATGTGCATGTGTATATGCATATATGTGTGTGTGTTGTGTGTGTGTGTGTGTGTGTGTGTGTGTGTGTGCTTTATGGTTTGTTTGGGATTTTTTAGATACTTGTTTTCTAGAAGTAGAGAGAAAGGGCATGGAGTTGGGTGGGTGGAGTAGTGGTGAGGATCTGGGAGGAGTTGGAAGAAGGGAAACATGATTAGGATATATTGTATAGAAACTTTTTCAGTTAAAAATGTTTCCCTCCAAAATTAAATATTTAGGAAAATATATAATTAAAGAAGTGAAAGACTTTTACAACAAAGATTTCAAGATATTGAGAAAGGAAATCACAGAAATCTCTATTTCATGCTCCTGGGTAGATAGAATTAATATTGTGAAAATGTCTATATTATCCTAATCAATATTAAACAGAACCAATGAAAAACTTATCAAAATCCCCATGTCACATTTCACAGGTATAGGAAAAATCAATACAAGAATTCACACAGAACCACAATAGAACACAAATTGCCAAAGCAATTCTAAGGAATAAAAATAATGCTGGAGGTATTACAACACCTGACCTCAAATAATACTACATAAAGTTATAGTGCTAAAGACAGCTTCGTTCTGGCATTAAAATAGAATAGAAGACCTAGAAATAAAATGACAAAGCTTTGCCCACTTAATTTTTGACAAATGAGGTCTGGTGGTTTGAGTGAGAATGTCCCCAAAAGTTCAAATGTTTGAATGCTTGGACTCCAGTTAGTGGAACTGTTTGGAAAGGGTTAGGAGGTGAGCCTTGTTGGAGGAAGTATGTCACAAGGTGTGGGCTTTGATGTTTCAAAAGCCCACACTAGGCCCAGTATCTCTGTTTCTCTCTGCCTATGGATCAGGAGGTGGTTCTCAGCTACTGCTCCCATGTCATGTGTGCCACCATGTTCCCTGTCATGATGATAATGGACCCTCTGAAACTGTAAGCAAGCTCCCAATAAAATGTTTTCTTATAGAACAGTCATGATGTCTCTTCATTACAATAAAACAGCTAAGACATGGGGTAAGCAAATGTCACATGAGCTAAAGGGTCCTCTTTCTCAGGGTGGTCAGAAAAAAGACTTCTGTCCTCACTTGTCATTCTCAGGGTGGTCAGAAAAGAGACTTCTGTCCTCACTTGTCATGTGAGCCTATTCAAATGCTTAGTTCTGTAGAGATGCAAACTAGGAGGCATTCTCCACTGAGACATGTTGTTCAATAGCAAATCAGCTAGCATCCATAATTCAATGCAGACCAGAGATGTATTGAGCTCCAGAGGCATGGACCTTGAGAAATTCCCTAATGGAATCAGTTCTTGGCTCCTGAGAGTTGACCACATCACACTTACTGGTTTTATTTCTCTGAGATCTAACAGCAAATAGCCAGTTGCACAGGTGACTGGGAACCATGACACTGTTAAGAAGAGAAACTGGTTTCATGTTCTTCAGTGTTGACTCAGCTGAATCTGTCGTGGCCTGGCATGTCTCAGTACCAAACCACAGAAGCCATGAGGTCCGGCTTGAGTGGGGGAGCGTGGATTTGGAAATTCCTAGCAACCCAAAGGCGATAAAGACCAGACACAGGCATTTTGTCATCTTTAGAGAGCTCTCAGTTCCATGTTGCAAAACTGGAGTCTCTCCCTTATTTCAGCATTTTCCTGGCTGCCTTCTAGCCATTCTTCCCTGACCCAGAGACCACTTCTCTCCCATCTCCCTAGACCCTACCAGCAGATCTCTCTCAACAGTCTCTACTCCTGTAGACCTCCCAGCAGATACCTCTAACCATCTGTCCTCACTCCTCATGTAGACCTAGCCCTCTGCCCTGGTGCAGGCCTATTCAAATGCTTAGTTCGGTAGAGATGCAAAACTAGGGGACATTCTCCACTGAGGCTCTGCCATTCAACAGCAAATTATCTAGCATCTGCAATACAATGCAGACCAGAGCTCCTGGGTTACTGGAACCTGAGGTTTGGAGCCTGAGAAATTCTCTAATGGAATTGTTCTCAGCTCCCAACAGAATCAAGATATATTTTTTGTCTGTGCCAGAAATTAATGTGAGAAAATTTAGATGCGACAAAGATCAGAATATAATTAACCTACTCACCCCCATCTCTTGCTTTGGGATCCAAGTCAGGGTTTCCAGCCTTTATAGCATTACTGATGATGGCTTGGGTCTGTGATTCTTTTCTATGTGACCCTGGAGGATGCTCAGTAGCATTCCTAGTCTCTATTTGATAAATGCCAATAGCACCTTCCAGTGTTGACAATGAAAACTGTCTTGGGACATTGCTCCATGACCTGAAGTTGACAGCCACTGATCTAAACAGAAACTATCTTGTTGCACATGTTTTCGCTTTTTAATCTGTTTTCTTCCTTTCCATCCACCCCATTCTCCCCTGTGTTTGGAGACAGCATCTCACGCTGTCTATTCTACAATTTAATAAATAGACCAAGCTTGCTTTGAACTTGTGAACAACCCTCCAGCCTCTGCTCCCCAAGTGCTAGGATTGTAGTTGTGTCACTCAGCTGACATTTCTATTTTTTAATTATGAATCCAAATACTTTTTTCAGCAAGAAAGATATAAATATGTGCCATATGTCCCTCACATCTTTTGATTTCTAATGATTAATACCATAAGCTAATGTGTACTTAATTTTATCATAAAAATATCAGAGCAATTACTACTCTGTTAATACTACACACTGTAGAGTATTTTATCATTAGTGACAAACAACATGCATCATTCCGTTTGTTAGACCCCCCAGAAAACTCAGGTATCTGGGGTCCCAGGCCACGACTTGAAGGAACCGGCTTCCCTTTTGGCAGCCATAACAGCCCAACATGTGCTTGCCATAAACCTGCCTTGGTCACTTAGAGGTCAGATGCCTGTCTTGTGACAAGGAACCAATCAGAAGTTAGCTGGTGGCGCTATGCTTTACGACCCTGGGTGTGCTTTACGGACAAGCGCACGACAATGACGTAGAGAGCATAGCAACCACCCTGGGAGGGCCTATGGGCCATAACAACCAGTTGACCAATCAACACAGGGCACGCCCTCCAAGCCTGGAAGCACACCAATCGTGAGCGTGTGCGTAAGCCTGTGCGTACCCCTAGACACTCACCTTACACTGTCCTATAAGATCTCTTGGGAGGCCCTAGGAGCTGTCTTTTGCTAGCCAACCACCATGGCAGGTTGGTGAAAGACCCAAGCTAACATGGGGTTAGCTCGTTAAAGTACAATAAAGCCTCATGCAGTTTGCATCAAGCTTTCGCCCCCATTCTGTGTTTGGGTGGGCCGCCGTCCTGGGCTCAGATTCTGGAAGCCTCAGCTTTCTGAGGGTCTTACAGACTGTGGTCACCCCAATCACCAGGCGGATTCAGAGAGCTTGATGCAAACTGCATGAGGCTTTATTGTAATTTAACGAGCTAACCCCATGTTAGCTTGGGTCTTTCACCCACCTGCCATGGTGGTTGGCTAGCAAAAGACAGCTCCTAGGGCCTCCCAAGAGATCTTATAGGACAGTGTAAGGTGAGTGTCTAGGGGTACGCACAGGCTCACTATTGTTGTGCCTCCAGCCTTGGAGGGCTTGCCTTGTGTTGATTGGCCAACTGGTTGTTATGGCCCATAGGCCCTCCCAGGGTGGTTACTATGCTTTGTGTGTCATTGCTGTGCACTTGTCCGTAAATCACACCCAGGGTCGTAAAGCATAGTGCCACCAGCTAACTTCTGATTGGTTCCTTGTCACAAGGCAGGCATCTGACTTTCTAGTGACTAAGACAAGGTCATAGAGCACGTGTTCGGCCATTATGGCTACCAAAAGGAAAGCTGGTCCTCACTGTCACTCTAATATTCTGGCCAATTGCCATCTTAGGAACTACTCACAAGCCTCCACATCTCTGTTACTTCAAATGATTCCACTGTGTGCCACTCAACCACTCTATGGTGAAATTTTTTTATATATTCTAACTGTTTACAATGCTTTCACCTCTGAAACAACACTCACTCAGTCCCATTTATTAAAATCTGTTCTTTGTTATTTAACACTGTTACCCTTTCTCTAACTGCTGCTTCAGGCTTGTTTGTTTGTTTGTGTTCTTTGCTTCCGCCCCCACTTCCTCTACTGAACATTGCAGGTCCTTTTTGTTCAGTGGAGCTTATAAAGAAAGGGGCAGCAAACTCAGGCAGCCAAACTGCCCAAAGGTGATGCACTTTACACTTTTGCATATCTTTTTTAAGATTTATACTGCATGACCTGAAAATACTTGGTGAAATTTTACCCTGGCTATACACAAATACAGTTTGACCAGAGCGCAGCTATGCTATTTGTGTGCTTATGGCCACTCTCCTACCACAGTGGCAACATTGTTTGACAAAAACTATAATGCTATAGGGCCTAAAATACTTAAATCGGCTCTTTACGGACAAAAACAAACAACAACAAAAAAACTTGTCAACCTCCACCATGAAGTAACTTGAGTATTTCTTTCCTTCGCACAATGAACCTCAAGCCCTAAGGGAATTTCCTCATGCATAACAAAATACATTTCTGTATGAGGATGTCACCAGTGAGCTTACAGCACATCTGTTACCATGTAGGTTTACATGCTGGTGTATACAAAGGGCTGCCAACAGTGGCTGGACTGCACTTGAGCCAAGGGCAGGAACCCCCACCTCCCAAGTTATCCATAAGTGGGGCCATTATCTTATTGCATCCTTTTAATGCTTAATTTTATATTTACTCATTAATATTTTTCCCTAGATTTAATTTACTTTCTACAAATGTGTATGAAGAAGTTGAAAACAATCAGAAATGGGCAGAAAACCAGTTTATCAATTACCGTAAAGACCACCTGTGCCACATGAATGAATGTCTGAAGGATTTGCAGGAAAAGCTGGTAAGGGGCTCTGCCATCTCCTGAGGGTCACACAGCTACAAAGTCCCTGTCCTCTGGCTGGTCTGGTGACTGCCCCCAGCCTCTGCTGCATGGGAACATATTTGTATTTTATACTTCTATAGTAGTTGGTGCCTGCCTCTGGTCCAGGAAGCTCAGGACTCCAGTTGTGAGAGAGTATGCTCTCTCTACACAAAAACAATTTGAAAGAACTTTCCTTTTAAAGAACAAAACTTAAAAAACAAGACATTCTCGTCAGGGCATTGGTGGCACATGCCTTTAATCCCAGCACTAGGGAGGCAGAGGCAGGTAGATCCTTGTAAATTTGAGGTCAGCCTGGTCTACAGAGCAAGTGCCAGGATAGGCTCCAAAGCTACACAGAGAAAACCTATATCAAAAACAAACAAACAAACAAACAAACAAAGACATTCTCAGCTCAAAGATAAGAATCAATTTTCTGGGGTCCTCCATTAGGCATCTGTGGCTCTAGATAAGTTGCCTAGGTGAAATTCAGCACTGTGACATTTGGAAAACTTCTGCACAGACAAGAAATTTACCCTATGCAAAGTTTTGTTTGTTTTTCTTTTTTGAGATGGGATCTTACTATGTAGCTCTGATGGGCTGGTCTGGAGTTCACGAAGATCCACCTGTCTCTACCCCTTGATTGCTGGGACAATGCCTGGCATAGAACGAAAATTTTAAGAACTCTCTTTGTTGTGCCCAAATTCTGAACCCCAAAATCACCAAGAGGCCCATGTCTATGCAAAAGCAATGAGTCTTTTATTACAGTTGTTTAATGAGCTAACCACATTAGCTCGGGCCTTTCACCTTCTACCACAGCAGCAGATGGCTGGAGAAAGACCCAAGAAACCATGGGACAGAGATCTTATAGGGCAGTGTAAGGGGAGTGTCTAGGGGTACGCACAATCTTAGGATTGGTGAGCTTCCAGGCTTGGATGCCCTGCCCTGTGTTGATTGGTCAACTGGTTGTTATGGCCTATAGGCCCTCCCAGGGCGGTTGCTATGCTCTGTACGCCACTGCTGTGCACTTGTCCATAAAGTACACCCAGAGCTGTAAAGCATAGCCCCACTAGCTAACTTCTGATTGGTTCCTTGCCTCGAGGCAGGCATTTGACCTACTAGTGACCAAGGCCAAGGTCAGGCAAGCACATGTTGGCCTGTCATGGCTGCCAAAACAAGGTTGGTCCCTTCATTTTCCAACCAAATCAGACCATGAGAAGAAAGTCCCAGTCTTTGGAGGATTATACCTACATCTGGGCTTCTTTCTCCCACTCCATCTGGCACCCCAAGTCCACAGAGAGGGGCAGGGCAAGGTCTATGGTAGCCAGTGTACAAATAAAATGTTCTGAGAACTCTATTAGCAACAACTTTATCACAGCTGCTCCAACTATCAAAGCTTGTGTAGTCAGTTTCACAGCTGCCAAGTGAGCCTACTTGTTCAACTTCAGAAGCACCCAAGTTGCTCTAGAAGGTGACCCTGGATCATCCTGTGAGGAAGAGAAAGACTGAATCCACCTTCCTGAAGCAAGCAGCAGGAAACAGATTCAAAGGAGCCAGGCCATGTGTGCTCATCCCTCCTCCCCATTCTCTCCAGTACACCACTGCTCCCCTACTGGCACCTTAGACTCACCTGCTGAGCTCTCCTGCTGTACTAATTCCTGACCAATTAAGTCAGAACTTCTGGGGTGAGGTGTGACCTAGGGGGTTGTAGAAAAAATGAACAGCTGGAGTGGGAGTCACCCTTCTCACTGATTGAGGTTCTCATGGAGATATAAACTTCCATGGAGGAAGGGTTAGTTCTAACTCTTAGGAGCATTGCCAAGGAACTTAGAGAGAGTAGTGTCTGTTGTCTTCCTTTGAGATGCTTTAACTATCAGATACTTTAGGATTCCAAACCTTCCAGGCCCTTCCACAATTGCAGCCCTGGAGAGTCACCAGAGCCCAGAAATGACCAAGCTAAACAAAGGAATTAGCTCTCATACTTGGGACCACAGTTTGAGGCATAAAATGTTGTTGTTTTCCATGAGGAAAACAGCATTTTCTCTAAGGTCAAGCATAAACCCACTCAGTCCTCTTTTCCAAGGAGTTTAATCCATGTGATCTCTTTTTGTAGGAAAAGTATGAGATGAAAATGGCAGAAAAAATGTTGCAGCTTTCAAGAACCTTGGAGAATTATATTAACTGCCAGAAGCAGGAAGCAGAAGCAAACAAAATAAAACTCTTAGAAAAAAAACTGTCCAATAAGATGAGCCAAATGGAAAAGCGGTTCTGGAGTGAATTAGAGAAAATGCAAAGTGACTATCAATCAGGTGAGTGGAGAAGAGCTGGCCGTCCCCTCCTGTCTGTTTCTCCAATTCTACTCTCAGCCAGTCTTGTCATTAGTGACATCATCATGCATTTAATCTGGCTTCCCTGAACATTTTACAGGAGGTCAGCATAACACTGACAGGTAACTAAAGGAGTAGCTGCTGTTCTTTTCCACTTGGCGATGTCACAAGCCTGCCATTGTTGTCAAAAGTTTTACTTTCTACAATCTTTGGGATATAGAACTATGAGGGGGCAAGTTCTTGGGCTCACAAAGACCTGACTTGTGGCTCCATTATGAATTTAGAAGACTAAGTCAAATTGACATATCCTTCTCATTGGACTGCAGGTAATTAGACATATGTCAGATGGTGCCTTGACCTTTACAAGTGAGGAAGAGAGATGAATGAGCAGTTCTTGTAATGACTGCTTTTCTTCTTAAGAGGGAAAGGCAGCAGTGTCAAGCTGAGCTGACTTCAAAGGACTGATTTAAAGGCTCATCTAATGTGTCAAAGAGAAGGAGAAGGAATAGGGGCTGTGGAGCAGCAATCTGCCTGGAGTCACAATTCTGAGGAACACAAGGTTCTTTTATTAAAGAAAGCTCTAATCTGGGTTGTGTCCTCCAAGTCTTAGAAAATACACATGTAAATCACACAAAATTTTGGCCCCACAGAGGCACACTGCAGTTGAGTTAAGAGGGTGTTATAGCCTTCATCCACCTAGTGTTCCTGGCATGTAAGCAGAACTTAATGTCTAGAAAGCTAACCCTCACATGCCCTACCTCCTTCCACCAAGTTAAAATAGTGACTTACATGGCCAAGAGCCATATCCGAAACTCCATGGACTCTTCTGACAAGGGCCCTCTTTGCTTTGTTTTCAGAGGTTTAATTATGCTTATTGTTGCTTAGGGTGAGTAGAAGAGAATTTTTCAATCTTTGTCCTTTTTTGTTTAGTAAGTGGGAATTCTAGCTAAGAGAGAGTATAAATGAGTGGTTTACTCCTTTGTGCTTTTAATAAAAAGGTGTTGAGAAGCAAATATGTGGATGACCTCAGGGAGTAGGGAATGGGCTGTCCTCTAAGCTTGTGGTCGGACAAGCCTATGGCCCTGAGGGACAGACATGAGTAAAACAGATAGAGAGCACTGGGTGAGAAGAGGATAGGAAGAGGGTAGGAAGAAGGTGAGAAGAGCGTAGGAAGAGGGTGGGAAGAGGGTTGGAAAAGGGCAGCTGGCCCCACTTTTTAGTTCCTTCAAGCAGGGTACTTGTCAAGGGAGTAACAGGAATATTTTTAAAGCCCACAAATCTTTTTTGACGTCTACAGAGAGAAGAGAATATTTTAAGTATCTCCTGAAAGATAGAATTGTTAGATAGTATGTGATGATGGAGGTTCTGTCTCACTAGTCCCACAGCTGTTTAGCCCCAAATAAACACACAGAGACTTACATTAATTATAAACTGTTTGGCCAATGGCTTAGGATTCTTACTGGTTAGCTCTCTCTTAATTATTAACCCATAACTATTAGTCTATTTATTATATTAACCCATAACTATTAATCTATTTATTTCTACATGGCCTTATCTTACCGGAGAATGCCAGGAACTGTTACTCCTTCAACAGCTACATGGTATCTCCATGGCAGCTCACTCTCTGAGTCCTCTCCCCAGAATTCACTTTGTTGGATAGCCCTGCCTATACTCCTGCCTGGCTACTGATCAATCAGTGTTTTATTCATCAACCAATAAGAGAAACATATATACAGAAGGACATCCCTCATCAAATATGTTTACAGAGAGGGGAAAGAAAACAGTTTTCACAATAAATCCAGATTCCAGTTAAGCTGCTATGAACTAATTCATCTTTGTATATTTCTATATTTGTCTTAATAGAATTTAATGTGCTTTGAATTAAATGATGATCAATTATGGAAGGACTGCTGAAGAACAATTTTGGAGATGGGAGAGATCCAATGCATTGTTTTAGTGTATCTATTCTCTTTTCCTCTTCTAGGATTTAAGTCAATTCATGACTCCCTCAGCTCTCTCCAACAAATACAGAAAACAAAAATGGATTTAGAGAAATATAAAGTACAGAAAGATCTAAAGAAATTACAGCGGAAAATAGTGGAACTCCAGGAAGTATAACTTTGAAGTTACTTTCTTTCCCACTAGCTAGTGGGATAAGCTGTGAAGAAGAAAATTAACATCTTTAGGATGCTGACTACTTCTAGTGTTTCCTATCATCTCTAAAGGAAATTGGTTTACCAGGAAAAAAATACATTAAAGCAAAAGGCTTTGTGATTCCTTTATTTATTAACGAAAAATTAAGAAATTTCTTTACATGCACATTTTGTTAAATTTTTACTTGCCCACAAATAAGGGAAGAACAATCTACATTGTGAATGCAAATGAATAAAATAAATTCAGGCATTCCAGTGATGAACTGGTGACTCTGCCTGAAAATAACAGCCATGATGTGGCTACAATTTGTTATTAACATGAATTTTGTTCATTATTGCAAAAACACATCTCCTTTTCAAAAGAAACATCACTGTTTTTAGCACTAGCATTTGAGATCAAAATAGTTTACACATTTATGATCAAAATACTTCATAAACTATATGGGAAACATCTGTGGGATGTATACACCAGAAGGCTAATTTACAATTTCTGACTCAGAAAATTATCTTTTCTAACAAAAGCAATGTCGATAGCAAATCTAATTTATGCATATTTAAAATACATTATCATTGTACTTAATATGTATTAGAATTGTAAGTACTGTCCCTTGCAAAACAAAATATACCAGCTTCCACTAAAAATACTCCACAATATTTAGCCTACATGCTAAACTCAAAAGTATCTCAAAACCAATGATTTCTTATCAACTCAAAACACAGTTTAAATATTGAGCAGTTGTGTTTGCATTTCTGTTCCTGTGATAAAGCACCCTAACAAAAAGCAACTTTAAGGGAGAAAGGATTTATTTGGCTTACAACTCATTGCAGAGAAATCAAGCATCAGGAGCTTGAAGCAGTTCATCACATGACACAGTTGGAGAGAAGAGAAATGAATGCATAAGCATTTCACATGCTTACTTGTGTTCTGCTGTCTCCACTCTTGTACAGTTCAGGACCCCTGCCTAAGGAATGGTACCACTCACAGTGGGCATGGTTTTTCACATCAATCAATTTAAAACAGTTCCCTACAAATATGTTCACAGGCCAACTAAACTGCAGATAATCTCTCATTGAAGCACTCTTCCCAAGTGAGTCTAGGCTGTGCCAAGCTAATTACTACGAGGACAATTGGTATAAGGCATTTTTATTTATGGAAAATAAAAGCAAACTATTTGTGGCATACACTATTTGTTCTGGAACAAGGATGAATTTCTATTCACAGTGATTTCTCTAAACCTGACAAGGTTTACCAGAAACCTTCTTTGGTTTGTAGAACAGTAACAATTCCTCTCACATTAAAGAATAATTTTGGGCTGGAGAGATGGCTCAGAGGTTAAGAGGTTAAGAGGTTAAGACTGCTCTTCCAGAGGTCCTGAGTTCAATTCCCAGCAACCACATAGTGGCGCACAACCATCCGTTATGAGATCTGGTGCCCTCTTCTGGTGTGCAGACATACATGGAAGCAGAATGTTGTATACATAATAAATAAATAAATAAAATCTTAAAAAAAAGAATAATTTTAACTCCCAAATATTTTACCTACACCCACTTATATAATTTTTTAACTATGTAAAACCTCTCCATTTATTGTTATTAGTATATACATAACATCATTAGCTCTGTAATTGGAAGGAATTTCATAGTAGATTTAAGAGTTCAAAACATAAGTGTCCTTTGCAATCAAATGTCATACTAGGATCAAGATCTGCTATAAATGTTTGCAAATCATCAAGAAAATAACACACTCAAAATTTTATTTTCAGAATGGTCACAGGATATAAACAGGTAAGTGACAGAATATAATAACCAATGGAAGTACAAAAAATGTTTCACTTCACTACTAAAGAAAAAAATCAAGGGAGCTCAGATCCTATTTTCAGATTGGCAGAAAGTGAGTCAATTGATAATACTGCATGAACAAGTGTGAAAAAGAAAAGCAAGCTCACATTAACTGTTAGCAAGCTTATAAACTGATACAATGGTTTAGAGGGCAATTTGGAAGCATCTACTAAATGTTCTCTTCCTTTGCTCTCCTCCCCTCAACTCTATCATACACACACCCTACAATTCCATATCTATAATTTCACATTATAGACTAAAATCTCCCAGAGAGCTTGTAAACACACATCCCAGTGTTGGAGTGACTCCAGGGTTTCAAGCACACTACACACATACTCTACAATTCAGCCACATGCCTAGCTATGCATGTTCTTTGAAGCCTCACTAGATTACTTATAATATCTAATGCAATGTCAGGGTTACATAGTTCTATTAAACTGTTATTTTAGGGGGGCAGGGGAGGGGGATGATAAAAAGTACATGTTCAACAGGTTCAACTTTTAAAATGCTTTTTACCTATGGTTGAATCCACAAACAAGTGACCTGCAGACTTCATGTTCAAACCATATATTTGATAGGACGCTAATATCTTGATCTTAAGGAAGTTACAGTCTATGGAAAAGGCCAAAACTTACATTTGCAAATTACAAGGGTGTGATGAGGGCTAAGGCAAGTGGAGTGGAGTGAGCCTAGTTCTGCAGGACAAGAAAATGGATCCACGAACTGCAGGAAATTCAATACAGTCAGAGCCTTAAGTGTGTAGTGGGAGATGGGGAGAGGAGGAAAGTGCAGGAAATGGAGAGAGAGAGAAACAGAGAGAGAGAGAATGCTGAAGAATGTAGGGGTGTGGGGGACTCAACCACAAAAGGCCTTGTAATTCATGTTGAGAAACTGGGCTTTATCCTAAGGACTTATGATAGGACACAAACAATTGAAATAGAAGAGTCACATTATCTGATTTGGACTTGAGATTCACTTGCCTGGAGGGTGCAGGACAAACAGGGTGGAAGCAGCACATTTGAGCTGAAAGGAAGGGAATTTGTGCAGCACAGCAAGGACTGTGCACTCAGGTTTATCTGGGGACAGGCAGTTATGTGTCTAGCGGTTAACGAGAAAAATGGAGCCTGGATAAAAATCCAGACATGGAATTCAGCTTTGGAAGTCACCAGAAAAGGAAAAGCTACTGGAGTTATGAATGGGGAAGACTTGCCTGGGAGTGAGTACAATGGGTGTGAATACTGTGAGGGGAAGTACTGAAGGGTCAGCATGCCTGCATAAGAATGTAAACAGTGGCAGGGGGGGGGGGGGCTAGAGAAATGGCTCAGAGGTTAAGAGCATTGACTGCTCTTCCAGGGGTCTTGAGTTCAATTCCCAGCAAACACATGGTGGCTCACAACCATCTACAATTCAATCTGATGCCCTTCTCTGGGCAAGAGGCAGAACACTTTATATTTAAAAAATCTTTTTTTTTTTTTTTTTTTTTTAAAAGAATGTAAACAGTGATGTAGTAGGAAAGATGATGTCTATGAGAGGCAGTGTTTTCTTCTAAGGGCTTGGTGACTCATTAGCATCATTCTATTTTCAGGGCTTCAAGAATTGCTAGATTGCCACCTGCAAAAGATGGCAATCCCCTCCAATGTAAACAAGTACAGGATGATTTAAATGCTTTCTTGATTGCTCATCTATTTCATAGATAAATGCGTTTGTGACACGAGGTTTTTCTTGGTTTAGCTAGGTCCCACTACCCTTCTGCTCCAAAGAAACGCACAGGACACTATATTAATTATAAAGCTGTTGGCCATTGGCTATGGTTTCTTATAGGCTAGCTCTGACTTAATTATTAACTCATTTCTATCAATCTAAGTAGTCCCACATGGCCTCATCTTACCGGAGAAAGGTCAGGGACTTCTTACTCCTCTGGCGTCCTACATCTCGCCTGTTCATCATCTCAGCAGAGAGGAGAAGAGAGAGATTTCCTGTTTGTTCTTGCTTATATACTGTTACTGCCTGCTATGTCACTTCCTTCCTGGATCACAAGGCGACTTCTCTTTATATTTCCCAGAAGCCTCCTCAACTCCTAGTCCCACCTATCTTGCTTCCCTGTTGGCCAACAGTGCTTTATTCAATAACCAATAAGATAAAGATATACACAGAACAACATTTCCCGTCATACATTCATTGTCTTTTCAAACACAGAGGGTGATGAGCTCCCCTTCAGTGGCAGGACTGCTGCAAGGAAACAGACTGCTCCTCCATGCAATCTCACAAGGCATTCTCTCTCTCTCTCTCTCTCTCTCTCTCTCTCTCTCTCTCCTCCCTCTCTCTCTCTGGGAGATCAGAGTCACACATACATGTAGAAAGGTTTAATGTTATTTCAGATTTTCCTTATATAGCCATGACATTTTCTGACTTCCTGGCTGCATTTCCCAACCCTACTCCTTGGTAGAATGTAGCTATATCATTTTCAAAAGGTATTTGCACATGTGACAAATGCGAATATGAAATGACTGAGATATGATGTCATGAGCCATGTCCACTTTAACAGCCCCAGAACTACTAATTCTCAGAAGAGAATTTGAAGGGTGTTGAGGGCTACATAACCTGAATTTAATACTGTACCACAATCACCATCTGTGTAGCTTTGGATTTGTTCTGCCACTTCCACCCCCCTCATCTTAAAATGGGACAATAATATTGCAGTTGCCCTGAAGGTCACTGAAAGACTAAAAGGAACATTTACCAGACACTAAAAGCTTCTCAAGGCAGTCTAAATGGATTAAGTCATTCACACTTTCAGATACTTATGGCCACAGACACATTCAGTAATTTACATATGGTCATAACTTAAATGGAGCCTTGTTTTGAAGCCACTAGTTCAGAGGAGTTGCTTTAAATAGTTTGATTTTTTTTTTCTTTAAATACAAGCAGATCATCTCACATATTGTCACCTAGTGGAGACTATACTTAACGTTTACTATTAATAAACAGAACATTTGACTTTCCCAAAGATAAGTTTCATATAACTCTCTCATATAACTCTGATTCAGATCATTATCTAAAAATATTTGTGCTTAAAAGATATTTACTATGTGTAAGGAAAAATCCTTCTGCTTGTACTAATGCTAGCAAAGGATAAAAGTAGTGAGAATGCAAAAATAGAGATTTCTTCTGCATGATCTGAAACAATTTTCTAACCTTTCTTCTATTATCTTGGGAGAAAGGCTAACGGCTGAAGAGACATTATGGACACTGAGTGTTTCCGTGGGTGCTAATGACAATTTGCAATACATCCTATTTCCTCTACTAACTTGAGCCATCAAAGCAAACACAATAGCTCATATACCAAGTAGAATCCATTAGCATGCATCTGGTGGCTGCTTCTCC